CGCATCGAAAGCGTACGTCGAAAATAGAAAAGGTACATAACTTCATAACTTTCATTGGAGTTCGTATAACGGAATTTTGAAAGAAAAACATCAGCAAATGATGAGCACAGTCCTTCTATAAATTTTTTTCCACATCCATTCTTGGTAGCAATATATTTAGGTTCGCATTGTTGCCTTGTTAAAGAGGCCTCCATAATCACGCTGGACATTGAATACAATTTCTGTTTTGTTGGAATTTGTTAAAAAAATATTAAACTTCGCTAATTGTATAGAAAATTTTCAGCGTACTTAAGAAAAATTTTTTTTTGGTGTGCCACATTCTAAAACAAAATTTTTTAAACTTGGATCATTTTTTTTTTGTATTAAAAGAAAAAAAAAATACATTAGAGTAGTCCAAAAAAATAAAAAATAAAGCCGTAATGCCGGCGCCCCTTGGGATCGTTCTATACCGAAAAAATATACCACTATTTTTTTATTTTGAAATCAAAAAAGTTTTCAATGTATTTTATATGGAGAAAAAACAATGTTTCGTACAAATGGTATACAATTCTTGAAAATCTATATATTTCGATTGTTTATTTAACCACATTTTAATATTAAAGATTTTTTATTGATCACCCATTGTTTTTTCTGGGGGCATTAGCGGACCTATAAAATATAGGTACCGTGAAAAAATGGTTAAAGAAACAATTGGATATTATTATTGGGAATCTCCTGAATAGCAACCAGGTCTAAAAATAATGGTTTTCAAGAATTCTACACCATTTCTACGAATAATGGTTTATTCCCCATATAAAATACATGAAAAACTTTGAGCGCTTTAAGCACTCCCTAAATTAAAATTCAGACATTACTTTTTCACATGCAATTTTGTACCACTCTAATATACATACATAAATATTGAGACCAACACGTACGGAGTAGGGATGTCAGAAACACATCGATGTATCGAAAATATCGATGTTTTGGGGCCTACAAATTGGTTAAAACATAGGTTTGGCTTCAACTGCTCGGAGAAATCGCTTTGAAGGTCATTTTTAACAGAAGATATTATTTGATGTAAGTCCAAAAGTAACGGCACACATATGTGCTAATTGGAGTTGTTAAACTCGCCACTTCAACCAGGTCCAAAAGTAGATATGGTACCGAAGGAAGTGGTAATCCAGCAACTCTCAAAAATGTTAGCGCTTAAAAAATATATATATTCACGCTTTTTAAATTTTAATATTTTAATAGGCTTGTCCGATCTTGCATCCTTTAGTGCAAATAAAACAAAGTTATTCCACTATTGTTGCCCAACGTTTCGCTAAACTCATTAGCATCTTCAGGGGCTGGTTGTTTATTTTCACTGTATCAACAATAAGTACAAAAATTACAAATATGCATTAACGTGTGACGCCAATTGAAAATGCCAAGTGAAGCCAAGTCCTTCTCCACCTGGTCTTTCCAACGCAGAGGAGGCCTTCCTCTTCCTCTGTTACCAGCATCGCGGCCCGCGTTGAATATTTTCAGAGCAGGAGCGTTTCTGTCCATCCGAACGACATGGCCAAGCCAGCGGAGCCGCTGAATTTTAATTCGCTGCACTATGTCTATATCGTTGTAAAGCTCATACAGCTCATCGTTAAATCGTCCGCGATATTCGCCATCACCAACGCGTAAAGGTCCGTAAATCTTTCGCAGAATCTTTCTCTCGAAAACTCCAAGAGCCGCCTCATCAGATGCTTTCATTGTCCAATAGGTATATATATTCACTTTTAAGATGAGTTGATCTACTTTTAGGTACAACTTTTCGTTAAAAAGGTACAACATGAAAATTAAATTTTCATCACTAGTGTGACAAATAATTTTATGACGTCAGCGATTCTGTTAAGGCGCAAATGTAAATCCGCAATGAAATAGCTTCTGATAAGGAGGAGGTAATTATCCAAGCACATACATCCACATGTCATGAATACGCCAATCAATAATTATTCATTTATTTTTTTAATTACCAATATTTTTTCCTGAATCATAGGGGAATTCTCGAAGTCATGCACGTTGCATGGAATGCACGAAATGCAAAAATACTCTTCCAAATTAGAAAGAATGCGAGAGCACTCCATTGCAAAGTGGTAGCGGGCATAGAAATTATGAATCTGTATCAAATATATTAACAAGATACAGCAAAAAATAAAAAATAAGTGACTGAGATGAAAGCAATGGGAGAAATATGTAGGAATTACAACAACAAAACAGCTAGCGCAGAGTCGCATTTATCTTGTTATGCTTGTTTTTTTTTTGCAAAATATGTGCATGGGTCCAGACGTTGCATACATTGCAGCGACAGTAAATGCTGTTTCCCATGTATTTTGTTGTTGTGTGTTTGCAAGTTATGCGATCCGTGCAATCCTTGCTACGTCCAGCGACTTTGCAAGATTTTGAGAATACCCCTCACGTGTCATTGTTTCTAACACCTGCCACTTTTTTGATTTGCCTTAAAAATTTATAAAAAACTTGTCTATTTATGAACTACTATCTCTCTTTCTGTCCACTTCAAAAATTGTTTTGAGAGTTTTCCGTTTAGTAGATAAACGTAAATATCTCAACTGGTAAAGGTACATACGTGAAACTTTGGCAAGTTACACATACTTAATTTAATTTTTTTTGTTGTATTATACACGTATTATCAAAAAACGTCACGCGCTTTCAAATATATTTAAATAAAATATGTACATACGTATGTATATTTATAAAAAAGCCCTCAAGTTCGTCGGCTCTCAGATACGACGACGGTTTGATTAGTTTAAGTGACTACTAAGAGGAAGTTGGCCTGTGATAATGTCATTTTCCTGCTTTTATAGTGGTTAACGCACATAGTTAGAATTCTAGTACTATTACATGGCGAGCGATCTGGATTGAATATATAGTCACGCGCCCATCTCTAGTATTTATGTATGGACGCTCTCTAGCCCATTTACGCCTTGTCTTGACAAGCGAGTAACGAACGCATGCAAATCATCTAAAATGATATACATATACATTAGAGTGGCTCAAAAATTTTTTTTTTGGAAATTCATAAACGCTACCTCAAATTATTGTTATTTATGATAAAAGAAGAGAAACGTGTTTTTTATTTTGAAAAAAAAAGTTTTCTTAGAGGTCGCGCTGGTCGGTTTCTTATAAAAATGCTGATGTTCGCATTTTTTTTATTTTCTTGACATGTTAAAATACAGCTTAAAATGTGGTTTTTGCACATAATTACTCGAGTATTATAGGGGAACATTCCTTTAATTACATACCTGTCTTGGGCAGTTAGAATGGGCCAAGTGCCCGAAAATATGCTTTCGAAAAGAGACTAGTAAAATTAAAACGTTGATACTGGATGGACTTACGTGTTGTCATGGGTTGGAACTTGTTACCAGGGGGTTTTTGGGGTTGCTAATTAGGAATCTGATGTCAGTTTTTCAAAATTCAAAATGGCGGATCCAAAATGGCAATTCACTTTTTTTTTTTAATTATTGGATTTGTCCGAAACCCGGCACTCGACCACAAAAACTGGTCGCCGATTACGAACCTGAAGACAATTTTTTTAAATTCAAAATGGCGGATCCAATATTGCAATTAAATTAAAAAAAATTACTAAAATTAAAACGTTAATACTGAACGTTTTAAGCATTTTCAAGGGTTGAAACTCGCTCGAATTTTTAAAACATTTTCATATTTCGTCGTTTTTGGAAATTTAAAAAATTTTCGTAGTTCTTGAAGATTCAAAATTTTCAAAAAATTTAAAATTCTCAAACTTTGTTATATCAATACAATTCAGAAAAGTGGAACAATTTTGGAAATTTCCAAAGATGTTAATATCTTTTAGAATACTAAAAATTTTCTCTTTTTTACACACAAGTACCATGATTCTCAAAATTGTGGAAAATATAAAGATTTCTAAAATCTCAATGATTTTGTACATTTCAAAATATTCTCATTTTACCAAAATTCCTAAAATCTCCCGGATTTCGATAGTTTTTGAAATTTTGGAAATTATCCTAAAAATAAAAAATCTCAAGAAATTTAATAATATTATAAGATTCAAAATTTTGGAATTTTCGTTGTTTTCTGAACCTGTGAAAATATTCAAACTTGGTGTGACTTTCAACTGTGCAAAATAATACAAATTCGAAAATATAACAAAAAAAGTAAAAATTGAACATTAACAGCCGGTTTCTCCAGCAATTTAAGTTGAAAATGATTTTTTACTTTCTGTCAATTTCCGTATAAAAGTAAAAAAATTAAAATAACTTTTCACTTAATTAGCTTTCGTGAAATTGGCTGCAAGTACATAATTTCAAAATTTTGAAAATTCAGTGAGTTCGAAAAACTGATAGGCCTACTTAAATAACATAATACTTCGAACTTAGCACACAGCTAAAATTTCAAACTCAAGTGAAATTTTACACACTTTTTCCATGAATTAAAATTTTCAAAAACATCCATTCATTAGGTTTGTTCCCCAAGCTTCTCGAAGTCACTTCGTGTTACATATACGCGCTCCGCAAGTAAGTTTTCGAGTTTCTCTGATATTTCCCCAATTTCCCCTACCTGGGTCCGCCACTGTAATAACCTTGGTACGGAAAAGCAATTTGTTGAGAATTATTCAAATCGGACTAAAATTACACCCCCTTCCCGTATAACGGTAAATTTCAGAAATACGAAAACTCCGTTATTTCAATAACTGAGGACGCTTATTTACTCCAAGATAACAGTTACAACAATCTTCTTATAATAAATAAGACTGCTATAGACTTTTAGGAATTGGGCGTAGAACCAATTAAGTCTAACTCTGCATATTATCGAAAACGTTTGAAAACGGGTAAACACCTGGGTAATATATACCTACATATATTATTGAAAATTGAAATGCATTAAGTTTGTTTGATATTATTCATTCATTTATTGAAATCGCAAAATTTAATAAGAAATTCCAGTATTGGTTTTAATCCAGTCTAAGTAACTGGTCACGCGGGTGAAGGCAGCGGGATAACCCTTAGCGCAGCCGGCTGAAGCACCGAATGAAGTCAAACCGACTTGTACTCCTGAGGACTGCAAAACCAATGGGCCACCTGAATCACCACTGCATGTGGACACTCCACCAGTTGTAGAGATGCAAATGTTGGTGGCAGTCACAACCGTTGTGCCGTAAATTCTAGAACAAACTGTATTGGCAACTATCGGTACAACAGCGTATTGCAAGTTGGTGGTCACACTGGTGGCTGAATCGCTGATGAGTCCCCAACCAGAAGCAATGGCCGAATCACCAACATAGGTGGAGTAAGAGCTAGCAATAGCAGGCAATTTGACAGCTTGGATTCGGCTGGAATAGGACACGGATGGGATTTTGATTAGGGAGATGTCGTTCTTCAACGTATTGGAGTTCCAGTCGGAATGGATGATAATATCGCTGCTGGATACGGTGTAGGTAATCTCAGCCGATGTGCGAACGGTAGCGCCTAAGTAAACCGTGACAGATCTGGCACTGTGCGAAAAAAATTAAATAATAAGTAAATTTATTTTAAAGTTTATCAAAGAAAGATTTACATACAGAAAAGATGAGACTCAATAAGGACTACTTACCCTTCGGTACAATGAGCAGCGGTAAGGATCCAATTGTTACCAATCAAAGAACCACCGCACCAGGACGACGACAGAGTGCTCAATCTAATTGAGAGACCAACTTGATATGGGAATTGGCCAGCTGAAGCGGTTTCGCCATTAGTAATACGTCCCTCAACACTGTCATAAATTACGGGAACAACCAAGTCCCGTTGGGAAAGTAGTGGCGAAGCGTAGGCGGTGGCCAAGAGAAAAGCGAAGACAACGAGGACCTTCATGGTGCTGCGGTAAAGAAAGCAACTGATATTTTCTAACGCTCAGCGCGAAGCTTTTATAGGGAAACTCAAATATGAATGGCGAATTTTTGATAGCCTGAGCGCCCTAATCTCCCATGAATCTTACTTAGATGGATAGCAGTTTGCCATATTTTAATCTATAGTTTTTTGTCAGGTTTATCTTAAGTTATTATAACACTTTGGTCAAAATGTCGGTTATCTTATCAAATTGGCGTGC